GAATTAGGGTCATGATAGTGTGTGTATGTGGTGAGGGGGGTGGGGGGGGTTGAGCATTAAAGAACTAGAGGAAGGTTGTGTGTTTCATTGGTGCTATACTTCACCCTGGCTGGCTTTTCTCTTCCTTATGGCTATTCTGACAGAGGGGTGTCCAATTGACTACTGATGGACTTTGGGTCTCCACTCTGCTCTCCCCCTCATTCCCATTCATATGCTTTTTGTTTGTTTTGTTTTGGGTCTTTGATGCCTGATACCTGATCCTATGGACACCTCATGATCACACAGGCTGGTGTGCTTCTTCCCTGTGGACTTTGTTGCTTCTCAGCTAGAGGGCCGCTTGTTTATCTTCACGCCTTTAAGACCCCAGACCCTATACCTTTTGATAGCCAGGCACCATCAGCTTTCTTCACATTTGCTCATGTATCCATTTTGTCTTCAGCGATCGTGTCGGGAAGGTGAGCATCATGGAATGCCAGGTTATTAGAAAAAAGTGTTCTTGCTTTGAGGGAGTACCACCTAACACCCTCAATGAGAGCCCAATTCAAAATTCTTAAAAATAGTGTTACAGCAGATTTGCCTGATGCAATACAGCCTTCATTTTCCTGACTGCTGCTTCATTGGGCGGCAGTTGTGGATCAATTAAAATCAAATCCTGGATAACTTACTGGTAAATCTTTTCTCCATTTATCATGATATTTTATGTTACTTACTGGTTCCATTATGGGAGGCTTTGTTTTCTTTGTGCTGAGGTACAATCTATACTCAAGACTGCAATCTTTGATCTTCATCCTGAAGTGTTTTAAGCCCCGAAAGTGAAGCAAGGTGTTTCATCTGCACATCACAGTTAGTTATGGAGCCTTCCTCCAATCCTGATGATATTCCTTTTTGTCTAATCCAGGCTCTTGGGTTATTTGCTTAGTGTACATGTCGAGTAAGGATGTTGCAGATCTGCATTCTTCCTAGGGGAGTGCTTTCTCTCATGGTCTGCCCCCTCCAGCTTTCTGGGGTCAGAGTCAGCTCAACAGCAGTGAGTTTGGCTCTGATGACCTTCATGTTGCCTCCATCTCTACTTTTATTGGTGCTTAATCTGTTCTTTTGGTATTGAAACAATGGATTTGCTGGAAACACACCCTATCTAGTAGACCCCCGGTCCTTGACCGCATCTGTACTCGACATAACCAGATTTTGACTTTGCATTGAAGCTCGAACAAACCATTTGAATCCACCCCGACGCTTTTGTAAACAAAAGCAGTTTGTGTTTTGCTCGCGTTAGTTGGGATTGTTAGTCCGCATTGTTTAAACCTTTTGCGGCGGTGTTCCCAGTGTTCTGCTATCATTTTCTTAGTTTTTGCAGCATTTTATATTGTTTTTAGATTAAAAAAACCTGAGTCTGGGGAAATAGATTTTTGAAAAGAATCATCATGATAAGGAACTTGTTGACTGTGTTATTGATATTATTGATGATGATCTAGTAAACCCTTTTAGAAAAGTTAAGGAAATGTCAAGAGCAGACGATATCAGACACATTTTTTTAAAGAGAAAGCCAGCCAGGTTCTAGTGAAAAATGCAAAGAAGGGGAAAATTCCTGAAAAGCAACTATCAGTTGATTTTGTGGAAGGGGATTCCCCTTGTAAACAATGACTCTCCATACCTCCAGTCCACATCCGTATCCACAGATCCAGATCCTCATCAATCTCAAGGTATGGGCCATACTGTAATTGTTAAGAACTTTTTTAGTGTTGTGTTTTTTATTTAAATTATATTATTTAACTCTTAACTTATTAACTCTGAAATTTCTGTGTAATGTTTTGTATCAAAAGGCAAGGTTAGGGTAAAAACTTGGTGGTCAAGAACGCATTAATCCATTTTCAATTATTCCTTATGGGAAAAATTGATTCCGAACTCAACTGCACCACATCCAGTGCTCCTTCTGGAATGGGTTAGCTTCGAGGTCCGGGGTTCTACTGTCACTCAAACTCAAGTTCAAACCATTTTTGTAAGCAGTGATACCAGCCATGTAGTCCAAATTGTCTGCTAACCACCAGGGCAGCAGTGTGCAACCAGCAGCCACCGCTCCGGAGAAAGATGGGACTTTCTGCTCCCGTAAAAAGGGGCCGTCTCAGAGACACGTGGGTGGAGTGCTACCCCGTCCTGTGGGCTTGCTGAGGGTCAGAACTGACTCGAT